CGTATTGCGGCGGTTCAGAATTCAAATATCCGGGGACTGTCGCTAAAAGTTAATGCTCTATCGTGTTGGAAATATGCCCTACACCAAACTCAAACCTAAACCTACCCGATAGTGTTAACAAATGCAAAACTGATATAAAAACGTACTTGTTGATGCAACCGTGCCATTTGAACTTCCTTATTTTCTTTTGGAAACTGCAGTGATATGTACTTATTGGTACGTATTTCGCGTCTCGCGAAAAAGTGCCCCCAGGTACGTTTTGCCATGAGACCAGGTAGTAATATTAGTACATTGTATAATATACTTTTATCTCAATTTAACTTACATGAAGGAGCCTATTTCAGATTTGCTGCTGATTTGCCAAGCATATAATGCGATGAAAAGTAAACAAAGTTTACTTATCATCATTATTCATAATTAACGATATCTTCGTCCCCAAACAGACCGGACAGAGCAGCTTTGGGAATAGCTTTCTCCTCGTAAAGCAGCACACGTTGCACAAACACAGGAAGGAGGAAGTGTTTCCCTGAAGGAGCTACAACAGGCCCTGGGCAAACTCAACTAGAACTGGGCCACTGGGACTGAAAGAACTGGGTAAATGCTGAAATGTAACTGTAATAAGGAACGATAACATATCTGCTTTCATAAGGGTTTATGTTAGACGTTTCTAGGTCTGAATACTAGTAGACTAAGAAAACTGTTTATGCCAAAGTTTACAAAAAAAATGTGATATTACCAGCGACTCTACATTGTAAGAGATAAGTGTAAATATTTAACAATTCATGAACTATATAAATACCATAGCGGCTTCACAAATAACATATTAGCATTTATTTACAATCTGTCGTGAAACACTCACATAACACATATGCACACATATACAGAAGTGCACAAATATATTTTTCAAATCCACCATAAGTAATGCCGTGCAAAAGCCATAAAGGCTCTTATTAACATTCAGTAAGGGAAGCGTTTGCACAGGCCTCGTAGTTTATCATGGCTTTAAATAATGTGCTGTCAATGCACGTTGCTGTAACAAACCCAAAAAGATCTCCAGACATAAGAAAAACATCTCAAACAACTCTAATGAATAAATAACAGTATTTAGAACAGTTTACACTTTAAATATTCATGCTTTATAATGAAGCAATTTTCCAGGCTGGTGCTAAGCAGTAGGGAATATGAGACCAGATGTACACAAACGTAAACACTAGCTAGACTTCTGTAGTCTGGTTACATGAAGATAGCTGAACAAACTCTTGAGTTTTAGAGAAGGTTTAGCATCTAAACCTGGTTTAGATGCTATAAAGGTTCTCTATCAACTCTATCCATAGATTTCTGTAGCGAGTGCAACTGAAAGTGTGTATTCTTGAGAGAAAGCCGCCACAATTCACTTATCTGCTGAAACTCT